AGCTACGTGCAGTTTTCACTGTAAGAAGTGTACTTATTCTAGCCTGGAATACAACCTTTTATGTATTGTTGAATGTTCGGGAGGGAAGCGATCAGAAGAGCGGACTGGTGCTTGTCGTGTGGCTATTGGCGTCAGGCAAAATCCCACTGCACTCATTGGTTAGAAATAAGCACCTAAATAAGCATGCGGAATGGCGGCACCTTGTGATAACCATCTAGTCGGAGTATCTCTCCTTTGAGGAATCCATGGTAGAGTCTACAAAGGGTTACTCCTATACAAGGATTGTGTGACTTGATGATACCGTCTCTATGTATTCTTGGCATTTAAACGCCACATGTTCTACCATGACCATGTAATTGTAGGTGTATTAATTGTAGTTGTGTGTCCTTCCAGCCTGAAGTGCGTGGGACCATGGCTCGCCGTCTAGCAATGCGCCAGGGAGAGCGTGAGGACGGAATTGAGTGGGAGGATCTCGTTCCTATTGAGGTAGGAAGATCGATGTCTCAAATTTTAGCTACTTTTAGAGGGAAAGAGAGACAGAGAGAAAGAGACTAGAATGAACATGACGTTTAAAGCCTGATGATGTCCAACCTCTCCATTAGGCTAAACACATCAGTGACCAGTACAAAATGTTGGGCCTGCGCATTGTCACCCACCAGCCAACGCCCTGTCAAGACCTGGAGGGTCACGTGGTCTGGAAGGGAACGACGACGCACGGGAACGTGGCTGTCAAGGTGTGTGTTAATTTCAGTCTTGTTACAATTGACATGTAATGATGACTGCAACTTCCGTCAGGATTAATGACCCGCAGTTGCAGACAGAGACTATGATCCCGACCTATCGGTAAACTCGCCGATTCTTCCAGATCGCATTCTCTACACAAACACATCTGAAGATTCATATACAATGTACATTTGTAAATAGGAATTATTAATGTTGAAGCTGACACATGGAAATGATACAGCGTATAAGAACATTACTTTCACACTCAACTATCACATCTATTTTCCCAGGTGTACAAGTTGAACTCGATGAAAGAGTTGATGGGCGACGCGGACATGTCGGCAGGGGCAGGGATCGTGAGGAACAACGTGCGCATGTTGGGAGAACTGAGCGGCAGTCCGAACATCCTGCAGCTGCTGGCCTACCAGCTCCGGCCTCAGCCTGTCTTCCACATCACGGAGTTCATGGAGGAGGTGAGCTTAGCGACAGAGTCTGTTGCCTGTGTTTCCTGCCATTACCAAAGAATCCCGATATTTCCTCTCCATCTAGCTGGATATAGGTGCCAATGATGGTTTCATTTCAATTACAATTCTCTGAAGAAGTAGGAAGCTCTTGCTGTCTGAATCTGTAGAGATCTTCGTTGCAAAATCGGTGCGAAATTGTTCCCAGTTGTCATCGACTAGGAAATCGTGTGGCGATAGAATACATTTGGCTTCTTAGTCTTACCTAAAATAATTGCATATTGGTATACCATATAGCAAGTTCGTTTCCTAATGGTCTTACAAAACTTCTACCACCTCTGTCAAAACGCATCCATCCCTATTGACATATTCGTCATGCTCCAGGGCAATCTTTTGGACTTCCTGCTTCGGAAACGTCAAGACCACCAGCACACCCGGTCGTCCCTCCTCTACCTGCGGACTCTGCTGACCCTCCTGCTGGACATGGTGGCCGCTCTCCGTTTCTGTCACCACCACAACATCGTCCATCGGGACGTCACAGCCAGGAACTTCCTGGTCTACAGAAAAGGAGGGACGTACCGATGCAAGCTGGGTAATTTCAACATGGCTGCAAAAGTACCAACGATGGAGGAAGAGACCTACGAGTGCCCCGACTGTCTGCAGATTGTTTCCAAGGTGAGTTTCCAAGGTTTTGGGTATCTGTATCAGTCATGCACGCAAGAAGAAGAAACACAGAGAGAGGGGGAGGGAGATGCATTTACTTAATTCTGAACATCATCGCAATATTCTTGCACAATGACCCCATAGCGAAGTCATCGGACAAGCTTCATTTACCTGTGACCGTCATCTCTTTCTCAATAGGATCCTCCGATGATCCCGTTGCCAAGCTCTGGACTGCCCCTGAGTCGATGGTCGGGCACCAGTTCTCGGATAAGAGTGACGTGTGGATGCTGGGATGTACCATGTACGAGGTGCTCACGCACGGGTGTCGCCCTTTCACAGAGATGTGGGGCATGGCCGCAGACGACATCGTGCAACAAGTAGGTAGAACCAACAACAACTGCAACTATTCAAGGAACCTGGTCACACCGGGTCCCTGTCTTCTGTATGGTTTGATGAACTTCGCCATTTGAAAAATCGTCAAACCATACATGAGACAGGAACTCTTGGCGAGAAATACCATCACTAATATTAATTTAAATGTATGACAGGAGCTGCACAAATACTATGTTAATGCATGTATGATGTTCCTTTCTTACGTGTACCCAGGTTGTGTTCGGACTGCGCCCCCGCCAGCCTTCCTGCGTGCCGCGGAAACTGTTCCAGACGACTATGCTGCCCTGCTTCCTCACCGACCCGGTCGAGCGGATCGCCCTGCTGCAGCTGGAGAGGAAGCTGAAGAGCTACATGAAGGAGTGCCCCCTACCGGGTCAGTTCTGTGATACACTGATACTTATAATATCCGTCAGTATGGTGTGGTGAGGCTAGGTGAAGCTGTAGCACGCAAACGACGACCAAGAAGACTGACAAAAAGTCATCATTTCATGACGAGAAAGAAGTCTTTGAAGACGTAGATGTTTTAATAATGGAAATCTTATGATGCAAATATGACCCATAGCATATTGCGATTGTCTAGGACCATGGAGGTACTACGACACAACCAAGAAAATAGCTCCAGTGATTTTCCCACCTGATGAAAGTGTTCACAGATAACTCACCCTGCTTACATTACACACCCTTAGCTTAAAGTTAGAATAACGATGCTAAAGCTGTTCTTCTGCCTGCAGGTGTGGAACACATAGATGACATCCATCCCCCGCCCCGGCTGTCTCCCAACCAGTCAACACGACCTGAGAGGGTACGAAGTACCCGTATATCACTACACTATTAACATGGGTTATCACGAAACTCGACGGATGTAACTGGTGAAAAAAAACTTTTAGATATCTCACAAACAAGTTACCAAAATTTGCACTTACCACAATCACCATACATAAATAATGATGTCTTTGTTTTTAGGGAATACCAAAGAACTTGGAAACGCAGATCAGCAGTGAACCAGGTAAAATCGTGTTTCCCTGTCTAAGACTTGCCATATCTGTATATGTATGTACAGTCATCAGTAATATGGATACAAGTAACTTAGTAGGTACGAGCATGCTGTTTCAAACGATGTTGTAAACAATATTACTGTTAATTTAGAAACAAGGCAAAACGAAGAGCTTTCAGTGTGGTGGCATTGACATTTGAAATATAAATTCAAACTTTAATTTTAAGGGACCAGTGAGTAGAAACACAGATAGCTGTGAAAGCTACACTACTCGTAAGATTATATTTTGAAACATTGTATTTCTTAAATTTCAGAAGTCACTTCGACTGACTACAAGATCGAAAAGGTACGTTCCTGTTCTCTGGTAATGGCATCTTCGACTTTTCTCTCATTATCACTGTTGATAGTCTAATTGATTATTTGGTGGCCTTCTTAATTAATGAATGTAACAATTATTTTCATTTCGTACTATACAGAGGAAGTTTCTCTGCTCTGCGAGTGAGATACTTTTCTACGATCAACCAAACGACCAGGGGGTAGGTAACAACAATGTTGAACATTATTTTTAGTAGTCACGTGTTCGATCTATTTGACGCCGTGTATTGGGCCAATGTAATGCAGAACCATCTATAACTTAGTGAAAGCGTATATGATCCTATGTTTGTGTCAGAACCAATATACGAATACTACAATATACGAAGATTAAAACGTAGATTAAAAGAAAGAAGGGGGTAGAAATCTCACAAACCGGAGGTCCCGTGTTTGAGAAGAACCACACGTCGGACAAATATATGTTGAAGAGCTCACCACACTTAGTAGGGGTTCATCCTGCTGTGAGTGCATCAGACCTTATACATGTATAGTCTGATCTCGCGCAGCCTGTACTCGCATACACAAACCCTGTGTGTTGCGCCCACAGGCACATATTATGAATACCAAACAAACAAACAAACAAACAAAAGGGACAGGACTAAAGCGTTGATTATTCTAACGCAGGAGGAGTATCTACTGGAGGAAACTGTTGACAGCAGGAGGAGGGAGATGTTACTCAGGCTTGACCACGTGAACATCAGACGCGTCATCGACGTCGTCTTAAACGGTGACAAGGTCAAACAGGTAACGTCATTCCTCCGCTGCAAGGGAGGAAGTGCGGTTTCGTTGTTTCTGTTTGTGTTTTGGGGGTATGGGTGAAATCTGTCAACTCGGATTGTCACGTTTCGGATTCCTTTTAACAAACAAATCGAGCAATGCTTGTCAGACTATGTGGACACTCCTGCAGTTTGGGAATCAACTGGACCCTTAACCTGGGTCTTCAGGTCTTGGTTGTAACATATATATAACTGATTAGCTTGTGTCAATCTCTTCACAGATTTCACAAGTGTTTCCCGGAGGCCAGCTGACCCTTTTGGATGCAGCTCGAGAAAAGCGGTTGTCCGCTGAGGACATGGTCCGGTGCCTGAGGCAAGTGGCGGACGCCATGGCCTTTGTGCATGGACAGTCTCTTGTCAAGGGAGAAGGCATCATCCACTGTGATCTCCGGGCCATGCATGTCATCTGGGAGGGACAACATGTAAGTACAAGGTGCAGTTGTTTGTAACAGCAGCTAAAATAATTTATGGTACAAACTCTCTTTTTATTTTTATGACCTCTGAGTTTCGGTCTTTCCGCAGGTAAAGGTTGGGAGGTGGGGCCGTGCTAGCCGCCTCCGTCTCCGCCTGTACGATACCAAGCTCTCGGAAAGTGTGGTGAACAAGCAGATGCCTCGAGATGCTTTGAGATGGTATGTAACTCTCACGTTACGAGTCTTAAATCGTAAAGTGTCAAGAGTATTCAACCGCAACAGCAGCCTTCTTATCAACAAAATGACATAAATATTGAGGAAACAAATCATTAAAATCTATGCAACAGAAACATTTAGCCCCATTATCTCAGTGACAGTATAGACCTAGTCTGCTATATGTTACTATATTGCTGTTGTCGTATAAATCTGTCACACTCATATTTGGCTGTAAGGTTCTCTCAACTCATGCCATGTTTGTATCGTAACCCATATTTGGCAGTAACATTCTATTATACCCATATTTGACAGTAACGTCTATAAACCTATATATGGTTGTTATGTAATGTCCGACAGGTCACCTATGGAGGTGATTGAGAGCGGGATCTACTCGCAGGGCAGTGACGTCTTCACGTTCGGACAGCTGTGCTGGGAGGTGTTCCACGCCTACGACGCCGACAAAACCAGCGAGAACAGAATGCTGGCACCTTACCCGTACTTGCATGCGTATGAGGTATGTGTGTATTACAGATATTAACAAGAGCCTTGGTTCCTGTCCCAATAGCTTGTTGTTTAAACAATAGGAGGCAAACAACAATCGTCCTAAGATGTTTCCCGTCCCGTCTATCTATTTGGTGTGGAACTTGGACCTACGCTAAGCAACTGTTGATTTTATCTTTTCATTTCTTTTCAGCTATTTTGCATCTGTAACGCTTTCAATTATTAGTTTTGTTGTGTTATAACTTTATTTTTGCTTTCTTTCTTTTTCTTTTTGTTTGCAGGTCCTGCCGTACCTGCAGCGCAGACAGAGACCCCTGCAGCCGTGCCACTGTCCGGACTGGCTGTACCGCCTCATGAAGCTGTGCTGGCTGGACGAGCGGAGCCGCCGCCCGGGCTTCGACAGGATAGCGGCCTGCTTCAACAGGTGAGTGCAGAGACTAAAACTATATAAGAAAGACAACGAAAATAGGGATGAAATTGCTTGCCAGAACGCTTTGGAAGTAGTTTTATTGCAAATTCTTGTCCCGTCTATTTCAGTCCATTCGACTCGCCCCTGTTGGACATCGGCGATAACGGTACCTACAAGCAACAGGCTCCTGGCGGGAACGAGGAGAGTCTGAATGCAGCCCTGAACCACCAAGACCGCCACTACTTCCGCCAGGGCTTACTTCAGGGCGATGCTGACTACACGCGGAAGCACGTCATTGGGCTTTGGAGCGCCGACAACGTGTCGCAAGGCAGCGCCGATACATTTTACACCTTGACGTCAGAGGTTAGCAACCGAACGGACGACCTAACATCCGTCAGCAGCGACCTAACATCCGGGACCTGGCAGTCAGCAGAGTCGCGTTCAAGGGCGGGAACCAACAGCACGCAGCTATCCGACGGCAGCCGACGGTCTGGGAGCTCCACTCCCACGGAAGATCTCAATGAAAAGAGATCTCCAGGGCAAGAAGTCCTGTATAATAATTCGTTCAACATGGCACCTCTAGTTGTGGAGCTGAACTCCAAGCTGCAAGGGGCACAAACGACCTTAGACGACGAAAGCGAGACAAGCGATGGCACCATCTACGAAGACGAAGCAGAAGAGGTATCAAAAAGAGTTTCTCGCGAGATGTCTTTCCTAAACCCTTCTTACGAACACAGCGTACCTACAAGATTTCAGGGAATGCAGGACGGCATGACGATGAGTAGACCTGAAACTCCAGCATCTGGAGTGGCGGAAGCAACTTCTCCTAACACTGGCGATAACGGCGAAGGCAATGGTGACGCGGATTACTACACGAAGTTAGTTCGTCCTACGCCAGGCAGCACGCATAGCGTATCACCACCCCGCCACACAAGCGACGAGAACCAGTTTCCTACGCGGCCTCCCGTGCCACCGCGTCCATTGGCGATGACAGCAAGCCGCTACGCAAGCGACAGAGACGACTCATCGGTTGAGATGGCATCGCGGGAGGACACGCCCTCTCCTCCGGTCCCACCACGTGTGTTCTTGAACTCGGAAGCAATGGAAAACACCCTAGACGACCCACCGTATGTAGACGTCCGCCTGCGACACAAGGGGAACGATGCAGTGCCCCCCACCCCCATACCGCGCCCACTGAGTATGTGGGACATCGGCCAGGATTGGCAAGAGGCAAACAACAGTCCACCGGTACCCTCCAGCGAACGTCCCACCGCCAGGAACGCGCTGTGGACCAGAGTGCCTTCCGACACGTCGCTATCGTCACAGGCGTCGTCGTCCTTCGGAAGCAGCCAGGAAAGTCTTTTCATGTCTCCGAAGCAGAGCTCGTCAGGGAAGGGGGTGAAGAGCGCTTTGGCAAGGTTTTATAAGAATGGCAAACGTAGTTTAAGGAGAAAGTCTGGCCGTGCGAAGAGTGAGGACCATGGTGCTGTTGTCAGAACTGATGCCAGGGCACGAGGCGAGGGGGTGTTTCGCTGCTCTGAAGCTGAGGCGGGAAACCGGGACAGCACTTCCTCAGTCTGTAGTGACTACAGAGACGACAACACGGACGAGAACTCCGACCAGGAGTATGATACCAGACTTTAAGTAATCGCCATATTACGAGATTTTAGACTGAACATCAAACACGAAGGAATCGGGCACAATTATTGGATTCCTCTGCAGATTGAACCTCCTTGCTCCATTGGAGAGGTCTAGACTTCTATTAATTGTAACAAACATATACAAGTATTTCTTTGCTAATGTATGGTGTAAAACTAAGGCCTCTACTATGTATAGTTAGCAACCGGGGTCAAATTAAAATACGGTACATGTCAGATACGTGTATCAGTTAGATTGTGTTCATCAGACGCGACCAATGGAACTTTGCTACCTACCGGCCAATAATAGGGGAAATATCTGACTTAACATTGTGTGTGCTTAATTACTTACTTACTTGTGATGTTATGTTTGCGGGGCCATGTTATTCAAGTACCGCGGGTTCTCTAGCCAGGACTGATTTGACCACTAATGTACTATCACACTTACATAATGATGGTCCATTATTGCACGGATGGGGAATTAAGGAATAGTTCATTTTTGTTAAGGATCATGTGGGATTATTTCGGAATAAAGATCGTTTGGAACGATTCATTGTAATGACTATTGCTCTATTTTTATCCGCATCTCAGGGGCTTCCAAACACCCAACCCAGGATACCAAGAACAATATAAAGCTCCGTATTATAGGATATCACACCTCAAAATATGCATACATATGTTTTAATGTAGATGATTATTGCGTGCGTACTTACAATCAAACACCTGAGCTTAGATATTTACATGTATACGTCATGTGAACCTAGAAGGTTAAGATAATGTATCGAGTTCCAAGTTGAAGACAGATCTTTTAAAATATACGCTGTACATACTATTTCGTACTATATCTACAATATAAAACAACCGGTACAGAGTGCCCGTGTAATCGAACCCTGTAGAAATACAATGTTTACGCTATGTACATTTCTGTGCGTGTGAGTCATATTGCAGATCATTAAGGCCACCAGAAGTTAGGAATAGGTGACTTCGGTAATTATATTGCCTGCAGCGCTGTAGTACCGTAGTCCACGTACAAGTATTGAGGATGTAATGGTGATGTCAAGGTGTGTTTCTCACGACCAAAGCAGTTTCACAGTCGTCACCACATCACCACCTAGCCTTCAAATATGTTGTCCCTTAAAACGTGACATAAGCAGCTGGCTCCGGGTCCTGTACAAAACTTCCTATTTACATTCCCTCTCAGATTAGCAGTAAGGCGACCGAGAGAGCGTGCTAAAGCTAAAAAGGCTGGTATCCAGGCTGCACAACAAGAGGTAGAGACCGTCAGTCCCAGTCCGAGCCGCCCTTCCCCAACCTGAACACATCCATGTAGAAGGTGGCGCCGTTCCAAGCCTTGATGACGAACGCCACGGCCAGGAAGACGGCGTGCGCGATGAACCATCTGTACCACACCTGGCACAGCAGCATGGACGCCAGGCATATCAACACGTTCAGGATGTTGTAGTTGAAGTACAAAAATCTGCAGAAGATGTGACGTGGTGGGGAAATGATTCAGTAAGTACGCGAAGAGAATCTTTTTTGAAAACTCCACAAAACGACGTGTTTTATTTACAGACAAATGTATGCAGTGACAGCAATATACATCGCAGCTCAAAAAGCACCGTGTATCTGTTGATGTAATGGTTTCATACGAGCTGACTTACTTTGGGCCAAACATATTGAGAACCTTGTACCAAACGCTGTTCTTCTTGGCTGTGAAGAACCGATAACTGTTCCAGTACTCCGGGCTGGGTCTGCAGAACATGTGAACGGGTCCAAGAAGTTAATGACAAACTTCAAAGTACAGAATAGCATTTACTATGTATGATTTACATGTTGTACACATGATGACTTGAACTACATGTACATTGTCAACAGACATCTAAACTAGCGGCTACAAGTGTAGAATGTATATGGTTTGTGTTCTGACCTGAGGATGCCGTTGACGACCACTGCGTATAACAACTATAGGAACAGAAATGATAAATATCAGTTCAATCAATCAAGGGCAGTGATAATGGTTACATTAGCTCGAATTTCTACTCAAAATTCCAAAAGCATAGCTTTCAGTAGAAGAAATCGGAGATTTCAGATTTCCGAGAAGATTCCTTTTGATATTTTCTACCATCAGAGAAAAGTCCTTTCTAGACTCACGGCATGGCCGACATAGCAGGCGAGTGGCACGGCGAGCAGCCAGATGAAGGAGGGGTCCTGGAACTCCGTCTCAGCAGGGAAAGGTGTGTACCAATTCACAGATATTTGGGGAGAGTACCACCGCACTCTGCAACAAGAGCAATATAATTATGGACTTGACGGAGCCGTCAATATGGCGTCAAAAAGACCCATAGCGAAGGGTACAGCAAAGCAACAAGTTAACGTTGGCCACTGCGTACGTATAAAACAGTAACACATTTTCTTCCTCTACGGCGCGATCACATTCGCCATGCATCGTACGTCGTCGTACGATTTTCATGTGGTGGTATTTTCAAGCAGGCTGTGACAGAACAAACCGCTGACAAAAATCTCAGGCAACCCAAGAAATGTCTCCCCAAGCTAGTTTGCGATCGTACGAAGATCGTACGAGTCCAGCGTATGTGACAGGGTCCTTATTAGGAATCAGTTCACGACACGGTTTTGTGTCGTGGTCGTACCTACCCATAGGTGACGTAAGCAGGCAGCGAGTGGATGAAGACTGACGTCATTCTGTCTATGCTGTGAAAGACGATGGAGTTGCGGAAAAAGAAAACCTGGGAACGAGAATGTGTACAACTCAGAGGAAACATTCGCTGCGTTTTATACAAAGACACGAGCAGCAGGCTACATGATCTACTTGATATTTTTGTTTTTAACATCTAAAAATACATGAAAATATTTATTTTCTCCAATTCCCTTCCTTAATCGGTGTCTCCCATGTTTCGTGAGTCTCTGTTCCCTACCTTCTCACTGATAAACATAAGCCGATATTGACCGCTGGTCTTACCGCTATGACGAGAGGACCGTTGGCGATAGCAAAAACAATCTGGAACACTCTAGGCTCCGCCGGAGCTGCCCTGGAAACAAAACCAAACAATTAACTATGACTCATGCCTTGACCGTAAATATAGAAATATAGAATATCACTTTCAATTTTCCGTTTTTTCCATTGTTTACGCTAATATTAGCAGCTAGGTAGAGTTCTTCAACACTGTGCCTTGTGTATTTTTATGTTAAATAAGAAAAACTTACCAAATGTAGACATATGTAATGGCGTTTCCGAAATAACAGAAGTCCAGCAGGAAGTACTGCCACTTCTTGGTGCTGAGGGCGCAGAAAGTAAAATTGTTACTGAAATAGCGTTTAAACGGAGGTAAGATGTATGTACAGTATACTTCAATGTAGTTTCACTTTTAGCCTCTACCAGGCCTCATGTTGCTGGAAAAAAGTAGACGTTGGCCAAATAGACTGAATACTAGTAGTCTGCAGGGGGAAATAGCCGGCCAGAGGAATAAAATTTGCAACCTAGGTTTCTACTGTTGGTCTAGCAAGATGAGGAGCCTGGTAAAGGCTATATACACTAGTCTTAGAACAGTCGGTCCCGTTATAGTTAACGCTAACGTTATAACGATCAACAAAACACGACCAACGAACCCCTTCATCTACCAAAACGTATGGCAATTCAACTTCAATCCACTGCATGGAGAAAATAAGTCAAATAGCTTAAGCAGGAATATACATGTATACTTAGGATAGTTATTTCGCACCAAGGTCATCAGCCACCTGGAGGCCCAAATTTGATCTTGACCTTTGTCTTCCTGAGACCTGCCCAGGTACCAAATATCATCACATTTAAAGGTCTTACCACAATTTTCCATGGAGGTAAAAATGGGGAATAGATACGTACCAGTACAAATAGAGTCTGAGTCCTATGAGGACCGGGGCGGAGACGGCAAAGTAGTACGGGATGAGCCACTGTAAGGCGAGCAGGCCGAACGCCACCACCACCAGACTACACACCGCCGCCACGTAAAACACCTTCTCTCTCAGCCCGTTCTTAGCGAGGGTCTGAAATTTGACGACAGTGATAAGAAGAAGAGGAGAAGGACAAAATTATTTTTTAAAATATTCCTACATTCATCAAGACATGGTGACGGCACACTCAAGACAAAACTAGTCGTGCGGTTGGTGGAATGTTCTTTCAAGATGCACCAGACATGAGAGATTTACAGACAATGGTGTAATAGACTATCGTTACCTTTGCTGAATAGATAAAAGCTCATCCATCATTGATGAGCCAGGAATATGTGTTACACAACTTCTCGCTGCGAGGGGCTAATTACAAAACCCAACCACACTCCATCGCACCCCCTTCTAGCTGTAGGGTTAGGAGAGCAGGCTGGGCTGGGATTGAAAATGTCAAGCACAGTACGTGACCGTTATTGTTTGGAAACAGTAGCGTTTCCGACACGAACACAAAACATTTGTTCAACCTTGAGGAAGTTCCTGACGTCATCTTCCATGGCCTTGTCATCAGGCACCTGATTGGACATGACGCTGGACACCCGCTGTAACTCCCCTCCATCCGGTCTCCTCCTGGGAAACACGCAAACAGGATAGCGAAATATTGAAATCATTTTTGTATTCCCCTTAGGTTAAGGAGTAGAGTGCTAAACTAAAAGCGTTACGTGTGTATTTATGGCCAAGCAGTCGGTCTAGATGTCTAGACTTGTCTAGTGAGTACAGTGATCTAACCGGGCTAGTTTATACATATTACTGATTGCGTCATCTACATTGATATACATGTATACATGCAGGTAAATATGTCAGTCCTCACCTGTCATGCCGTACGTCACTGTTGCTCGGAACACTGCCGTTTTCGACACCACTGTGGTGGTCTCCGTTGTCCGACGCCACAGCCGAAGTCTTGGCAGGCGAGAGAGGTCCATTCTGTGGTAACCCCTGACCGGCGTCTTTACTACTGTCCAAAACAGCCGGCGCCACACGGTTGTCTTTACGCCCCTGTAGTTCACCACCGGACGTGCTTTCCGCCTCGGTTTCCATCTCTAAATCATCTATTACCAGCTGTAAACCAGAAGACCTGGATGTGGTAAACATGCTTCTTGTGGCAGTGGATCCGTGGCTGGTTGGAGGGGTGAATCTGTGGCCGTGAAAGCCCTCGGCACCCGGGGCCAACTGAAACGGTTTCCGCTGTAACAGACCGGCATGGTGACAAGAGATTGCGATTACACCCCGACGGATTGTATGTCAAAGTAAACAGGGATTCTCCGTAACTGAGACGTAGATCCGTCTTGTAAAATTTCTTTCAGAACAAGCAGAAAGACAACCAAATTTCCCTGATGACGCAGACAAGGCGTGTCTAATTCTAAGCGAAGCTCCCTTGACGAGAGACGATTATCACTAGGCAATTATCGCAGTCATTGAACCATCATTTGCAAGCAATTGTTTAGGGCTCCTTTAGGGGTTTCAAGGGAAGTTGATGTGGTGTACTCATATAAACCTTACTTGACAAAACGTTTATACACAGAACAAACTCATTTATTATTTTGCAATTGGTTAACTTTGATACTGAAAGCGGTTACACAAGCCCTTGTTCTCGTTTGGCAAATGTTGATTTCAACCTAGGGACATTGATGTACCCTCTTATCAAACTTTTCTTCATGATGTTCATTCGCTTGTGTCTGAAATTCACCCGAATACATTGTATAACCACAGAGAAATTAACGATTGGTCAGTAAAGTGTTTTGTTTTACTTACTTTATTCTTGTTTTTACGCATGTAACGTTGACCGAATTTTTTAGTCGTCAACCTGCAGCAACTATCCTAGATATCAGCCATGTCAGCCATCGTGGATCAGCTATTGAATGAATAGTGGAACAACAACAGATCTTATAACTTGAATAAGTTCTAGAATCCCCTTGATAATGTTGTTGATATCAGATATAATGGGGTGTTTGTCTGGTATTTCATGTTGTCGTTGGCTTCGTATCTTGCGCGCGTTCGAAATATACTAGTACATAAAAGGGTTATATCTTTCAATGGAGCGTGATATGGATGCGATGATAAAGAGAATTCCGTTGTACTTACAACGATGACGATATAATGGAAAACTCCACAGTCCACACCCCTATTGGGCTGTTCCAAAAAATAACTGTGGAGGGGGGGTGGAAGAGGTCTCAAATCAGCTTCTGACCCAACCCCCCTGTCCAGTCCAGAATTTTTTTTACCCACCCCCCTGTCCGGTCCAATTTCATTATTTTGACCCATCCCCCCTGTCCGTTCCAGGTTTGTTTGACCCAACCCCCCTGTCCGTTCCAGATTTGTTTGACCCAACCCCCCTGCCCGTTCCAGATTTGTTTAACCCAACCCCCCTGTCCATTCTAGATTTGTTTTACCCAACCCCCCTGTCCGTTCCAGATCCACTTTACCCAACCCCCCTGTCCGTTCCAGATCCATTTTACCCAACCCCCCTGTCCGTTCCAGGTTTGTTTGACCCAACCCCCCTGTCCAGTCCAGATTTGTCCTAATATACCTGCTTTTTTCATATTAGGCAATTACTAGTACGTTTTTGAGTTTTGAGCGTTAGTGCATGAGATGACTATTGACGTAACTTGTTTGGAGAGTTTAATTTTTTCAGCATTCAACATCACTATGAGGCGACTGAACTAAGCTTCCACCATAGATTTGGGCATCGTATGATTATATGACGAAAAGCACCAAAAAATGCACTGAGCATTTTCCCTGTGAGAAAATGCACAGTGCAATTTTTTAGGACTGAGCAATAATGAGCAGACATGCGGAGCAAAACAGTACAAGATGGCCATGATTTTCCAGAGATTACTTTGGGACATTTCAAGTTGAAACATCTCTCACTCTTCTTCAGTGGCACTAAACTGCACTTGGAGGAACTAGAAAAAACAGTTGAACAAAGAGTGAAAGACACACAAGTGTCACTGTTATTGTTATGTAAATGAGGATAAGGTAGATTATGGTAATACTAATACAACACCATAGGAACTGCATGTACTACTGGAGAGTTCTATGGGAAATCCTCCCTTCCAGTTAGTGGGATTGTAGCTGCACCTATAGATGGCCTCCTGGAAATGTCCTGAAGTAATCACCATGATAATTTATCCAGTAGTAAAGTTTGATTCGTCTTTGAATACTAGTATTGTTTACCTGGATGTCTAAGTTACCTTCATCAGGGTTATAAAAAGATAAGCTTGACAAAATAATAAGCTTGCGTGCCAGGCGGGTTGTGCCAGGCAACCTGACGTTTTCATGTTCAAGTCTCACACAGAAAACATGACTTGTTTGCAAAAGAGTGACTGAGAGTGGGTATTTTCAACCCTGAGTTCTGTCAGGGATGAAAAATATGACTTGGTAGATGATTGTCTTGTTGTATGACAATCAATGTACAGTTTCATAGCATTTTCCTTTTATGAAAGAAGGTAGTATATAATTATGTGATATTTTTATGATGCTCTGAGTGCAAATAGAAATTCAACGGACTTAACCTATGAAGAACCTAGCTGGTTTGGTTGGAAAAACAATGGGAACCTGTAGGGACTTTGTTTGTTCAAGCAGTGCCAATTCAGTGTATTGTGTTAAAACTGAGGATTCCAGGTCCATTGGCATTGGGTTTGGCTTGAAAAGAGCCGAAATGGAAGTTGTAAAAGGAAATAAAAGGAGGTTTTGTATTAAACAAGGAGCTCAGGTTAAAATTTATTTCTAACCTCCTTGTTTTGCTCAACTGCATAAGAGTATTGGTTTTGAAAATTTAAAATAATTCAAACTAGCCTGGCCCACACCTTCAGTGTTGTAAAGACTGTACTCTAAAAATTAAATCACGACTTCTAATTCTTTCGGCAAATCAAATGACTTTGTGTAAACCTGACTGTCCTGAACTTTTACCCTAGAATTTTATTTTGCTGAAGTGACTTTGGCCTAAGATAATTTAGCATAATCTGATAACACAACAATGTCTGAGCAAACAATAGGAACTCATTAGGACATGGAGCCAGTAATTAGCATTTCAATGAGTTACTGCAGCTGGTTGTGTGAAAACTGAAATCCTGGTACACCAAAAGTACAAGTCGACTAGAACCCTTGGATAGCAAAAGAACCTAAAAAGACTGAAAAGTCAAAGTAGTGCAAAAAAATTGTCCAATAAAGCAGTTTAATTTTAGATGGTCTGTAAAAGATATTTTTAAATGATGTTAGACCAAAATAATAGTCTCTACCACTAGTAGGCACTAGTACCAGACTATTTACGAGAATATTTGCCGGGCTAGTTTGGCCTGGCCACCTTCGGGTTTGACTTCGGAGGCCAGGGTAACTGGATTGTATCTGGAAAGAAACAGCCTTCGGGGACTGACTCCCCAGGCCAATCCTTTTTGCCGAAATACATATGCCACAAACCGTAATCCCACAAAAAAGCCTGGTGGAGGCTACTGAATAACAACAAATGTGTCTTATCTGAGAAATTGTACCCATATTTTAGTCAGGTATATTTGGCATGCATGAACACCCAAACAATTAATTAGGTGCATAAAAGACATTGGGTGCACTATAGCTATATAAAACAAGATTACTAGATGGCGTTAAAAAAGCCTCACACAAAAAGTCAGGTTGGCTCCTTGGCAGTTTCTTCTGACTTTGAAAAATCACTATCGGTTTCTTCTTCAACATTGGGCTACCAGAATATCTGGGTGCACTCAGAAAAAGATTGGGTGCACCCTCAGTATTTCGAGCCCTGATTTGTAGTTTGCATCAAATCGGGCAAAGCAATGGACAGGAGTGAGTGATACCCAGTTCACGTGATTCGTTGTTGGTTACACTCAGATTCACACTTGCACTTGAATATTATCTAAATGACTGAAAAGAAAATCAAAGACAATTTTTATTCTTTTATAAGTTACAAGAGCATTTTCAAAAGAACCTATGCAGTTGACTCCATATTCAGTTGAACCAAGGAGCTTATACTAGTTATAGTTAAAGGGATAATAAATAAGAAAGGAACAAAAATGATATATGTTACGGACAAGTTGCAATCTGCACAGTCACCTAGCTACCATGCATGACATATTTTTTTTAGATCAACAAAGAAATTAGGAAGTTATAAAAGTGATTCATAGATGGAAAGAAATTAGAGAGAAACTGTTTGGCTAAAATTCGACTGATCCTTTTGTTATGCAAACCATTGAAAGAGAATGCTGGATTAACTTGTTTACTTAACAACACTTGCTTGTTTACTTTAGAGTAACCAACTAATTACTTGGGGTAAAAATGTTGTTTCAGATAAATTTTGAAGAGGAAAAGGACTTATAATTTCTAAATTAAGATTTTCTACTACTGTATTTATATTTGCATGTAAGAAATAAAGAAGATAAATCCTATATAGCAGGACAAAATTGAAGAGCACACCAACCATCACTAAACAGAGATGGCTGACAGTATACTATAATTAAACTTCCTGGCACTTATAACCTGATAAGTTCATAAGGTCTGACATGGGATTGAGCTGTTTGGTCACTTAAATTCTGAAAGGTGTGGGACAGATGAAAATTTGATGCGTTAACTTAAAACAAATTTTATCTCTGTACAGTATGCACATCTTATATAGACTCTATATGAGAGTAGTATGCATATTAAAGCCATGTTTATGATTGTATGAAATATTTACAATGTCCTAATTTTTTTTTATCCAGCAAAAAATCCAAACATCTAAGATTGTAGATAAAATCCCAACCATAAAATGCTGAATACACCCAATACCTACTCTCCAAGCAGAGGGTTTTGGGGTTTTTGGGGGTTATTTTTAGTTGTGTTGTTG